CTGTAGGGTAGGTTTTGAGAGAGAGAGCCATGTTTCAGCCCCACTGCTGGCATTAGTCAATCTGCTGTCCAGATGTCTTCCACAGGTGACAGCTGCAATAGCCTAACAAGCAAATTAATCACGGAGCTTTTGTGGCGCTTCATTTTAGGGAAACTCATTTCGTTTCATAAAAGGCTTCATCTCGTGTGAAAAATGACAAATTGCGGCCATGGAGTGATGTGGAGGACCAAGCAGCCGGCTCTCATTTCTGTGCTGTGCCTGCGAGGTGGTGAAGAATAGAGAGGCAGAGAGAGAGAGAGATAGAGCAAAGGCAGAGAACTGGGCCAGAACCAGCGACGCAGTAATGAAGCCTAGCTCTGCCCCCGTGGGCTCAAGTTCTGACGAGCCTCACAGGTGGCTCGGTCAGATTAAAACCCAGCATGCTTATAAGGACCAGGTTTTGAAGGAGGGGATACACTCTGTGGTCTGTCAGTCATTGTCCACAAATTGCAACACGGAGGACATTTTGAAAAGCTGGCCTAACACGGCTGTGGTGGCAGGGAGTTTTCTTTGATTAAAACCCAGATGGCTTGTTGTTCTTTAATGCCTTTTCTTTTGGTTTAGATGTGATGTTTCATCTCATGTTTGCATGACAATCTGGATTTTGGTGTGTGCTAATGAATGAGGAGGAAAACAAATGAGGGGTATATCTCATTTTAGAGGTCACCCTACCTACAATGTGTTGCTCGCTCAAAATCTGCTAGGTAACAAACAAAGCTTAACAAGATTGTCCTCTTGAGTTTAACTACAGCATGGGTCACTTCGAAGTTTCTTTAAAAGACAGGTTTAGGGATAGTGAACCCCGCAGTTTGGATGTCATTATCTTTATTTTGTGCGCTGGAGGTGACCATAGCTGGATGAGTGAGCGACTGGTCATTATAGAGTGTTTTTGTACCTTCTGTGAAATAAGGGCTGTGACGACTCCTGGTTGATGGCTACCTCGTCAATCACAAGGTAGCTTCGCTTACATGTCAAACTCCAAATCAAAACGAGGCTAGCCGACTGAACAATTCAACATCCATCCTTCTTGTTTACACCAAAATTACTTGGTCAAAGAAATTATTCATATTTGCGGTATGTGGTGATACAGTGGCTCCAGGATGTCGGCATTTCAGGTGGTCATGCATCATCGTAGTGCTGCCATAGGATTAGAGTTAAGCTTCACAGAGATTGCAGTTAACGTGTTTTCTGGTTTATTTTCTGTGAACTCTTCCCAAACTTTGGGACGGAGTTTTTGAGCCTCTTTGTCTGTTTGTTCCGACATAAATCGTGCATTCTTCTTCTCTGTTTCCTTGTGGGGTGTAAACAGCGAGCAATACTGCCTCGTGCACTTCCTGTAGTGCACTGCAGTTACAGATCAGCATGAAGCGGCAGGTGTGTGATTTACATCAGCAATAAAACTACACGTCTATGCTTAAATTTTCACCTTTGCGAATTTTTGTTTTCTCATCGTAATTGATTACATTGTGAAAGAGTGTCAAAATAGTATTTGAATCATGGTAGGGACTGAGATGATCAGCCCAAAATGTTTATAAGGTTGGCCATTTGTAAGGTAATAAATCCGGAGTTGCCTGATTGTGTTCTTCTAACCATGACCATGTTCACAACTTAAAACTAGTTATAAAGTTTTTGCCTGCACTCAGTCAACTCATCTATGATCATAGCTCTGTCAGAGAAGAAACAAGTGTTAAACAAGTAAATGTCTTTTTTGTATGTGTTCTTCTGGATGTTAATTACAAACCGTACTCTGCAAGAGCAGTGAGGTTTAGATTTGAATACATTTCACTGCACAAAAAGATCGACCCAAATACAGACTTGAAGTGCACTTCACATGCTTGATAGAAAACTGAACATTGTGTCTTTATACTTTGAAGAGCAGCTATACTATATGGAAATATTTTCTGTGACAGAACACTGAGGAGAATGTCATATATTTAAGGTTTTTTCAAAGAAAAGTATGAAAAATTGAAAACTTACATTGGCCACACAGAAGCAACAAATTAAACTTTTTGGATTTAAGAGCTTCAGAAAGCCATTAATACAAAACAGAGATAAATCCTTGAAAGCCGTCCAACAAAAACTGTAATTATCATTGTCAGTAGAAAAGAAAAGAGCACAGGGAGGCAAGAGGATTACACTCCTTCACAACAGAGGAATGTTCTGTGTTTATTTCTCTTCATTTGTTGAAAGAAATTCTGGGGTGACAGATGTCAGCAACACTTTTATAATTTAGCATAATTATCATGTTCACTCCACTCTGCCGGTGTATATTGTATTCCACCTTCTTTTCTTCTCAGTCCGTCTTCAACTCTTTATGTGAAGACATTCATAGCTCCTCTTTTTAATGTTTGACCATGGCATATATGCAGAGGCCTTTGTGTTCAAAAGCTGATTCTGTGACATGAAAGATGTTGCTGTATAGCTAAAGAAGTTCCTTTAAATTTATATTTGTTGAAGTCTCCAACAAACTTTCTTATTCAGGTCGATTCTTTTGTCATTTCAGGGAAAATCGGCCATTTAAATGTGCTTCTGTAAAAAAACACCACAATACTTATTGACTTTAAGGTCCTTGAGCAATTTTCCCCAGAGATTTATAAAGTTTAAGTATCTCAAACAATATTTAAAAAGAAGAGTGTAACTGAAAGTGAGTTGAAAGTTATTCAGCTCAAGTCCTGACATCTGAATCTTATTCACCATATCAAACTTCAATGCCTGACAAAGCTACAGTGAAGAGAGAACCGAGGCGTATGTTTAAAAAAGTGAATCTAAAATGAATAAAAAATGGAAAAAGCATGCATCGGTTATACAACATCTGATCCTATTGGCTGTATCTATCATTATCTAACTACAGCACATACAGTCCTGAGGATGGATATTAGCTTTTGGAAAATCTGGTGTGGCCAACAGTTAGCATTGGACGATTTCTATCCAGGGCTTCCTGTCTCGTGTACGGCATTGATTACAGCCCAAAAAGCAACTTGAGGAGCAACTGCCCCTCTAGATACACCTAAAACCTGAACTCCACGATGTCTTGATCTATGAGCCCCCCTCCATATATGTTTTTTTAAATTCAGTTTATTGATCATAACAACTGGCACCTTAACCCTGGGAATTGTTTGAACCAGCTCAGAGTTCACTCCTCAAACAGAACATTGATGTCCAAATACTCCTATTTGAGGGCATTCGGTAGGTTACAGCAAATTGAACTGATAGCTCGATCTTGACTTGCGGAGTATGCAGTGCCATGGGGACCTCGACACCAAGATGTGTCCCCTTTCTAGAGACTGAGATATGGGGAACCTCTGACTCTTCAATGTGGTCCCACTGGCAGATATGCTCTTATCTGAGGAGGCTGTAGCATACATCTCCCAACAGCCAAATACAGATATAAAATAAAGAAGGATGAAATGGATGGATGGTGGTTGAAATTCTTAACACAAGTGTCTTTTAGTATGTTTGAACCTCAAAAGTAAACTCAAGATCACACAAATCTTGGTTCACAGCTGCCTGAAAGCAGAAGTATGATGAAGAGTTTGAAATTTCAGTGTTCATTAGGGCGACCATATTCTGAATCCCCAAAAAGTGGACACGACTACGCGGGGGTGAAGTCGCAATCAGGCATGGTTGATTTTGAGAGTTTTTCAGGTCGGGTCGAGTGTTTTTAACGCACTTCTAACTCAGTAAGTTCACGCCACACAAACTCAAAACTTCCATACAAAACCCTGGACATTTGAAGGATTTTATAAACTCCAAAGCCGGACAAGGCCGGACAAGGCTGGGCAACCCCTCAAAAAGAGGGCATGTTCGGGTAAAAGAGGACATAGGGTCACCCTAGTGTTCATGTGCGTCCAAACAGTGTGATGCAGTGTTTTCCTGACTTAACATGTAGACACACAGACCAAAAAAAGTGGTAAAAAGATCAGAATGGGACTTCAATTCCAAAGACTGACACTGACTTGATATGACGTGCGATTTAGTTTTTTTCCTGGCTATACCATTGCATATCTATCACTATAGCTCTGGCTTTTTCTGTTATTTTTGATCAGTGGTACGGCAGTGGTATTGAATACGCAGGCTTTCATATCTGTATATCCAACTCTGTACTGCTAATTCTGTTCAAGACCCACTCCAATCAATCTGCTTGTCTTGCTCTCAGACAGCGAATAAGAAGGTTGATTTATATATTTTGCTATCTGTTGAATTACTCTTTTTAATTTGGGTAAGGCTTCCCTCTTTATGTCTGTCCTGTAAAAGTAGAGAGACAGATGATCTTGTATTAACTGAAGCATCTTTGCTGTTGGTTTCCTTTGAGCCAGGATGGAAAGCTCCCTGAGTTTAGAGTAACTTAACGAACGTGGGAAGAGTGCAGTGAAAAAGAACAGGAAGTGGACTTGTGTCTACTTAAAGATATGGCAATTTACAGAAACACACACACACACACGCACACACACACACTTGGACACTCAACACCCCCCTCCCATGAGGGCCTAGAAGCTAATTAGCTCCTAAAGCATTTATTTATCACAGATAAACTGTCCAGCAATCTCACTGGCACATCCCCAATGGAAATAAGAACTACTCATTAGTTTGTTCAATTAAGCTTTCCTTTTCCCACTTCAGCACGCCCTCCCCACATCTCCACCACGACCAGAATACACTTTTTGGTTCTGTAAAAGTTCCTCGCTTGAACTGACTTTTTCCCTGTATATGCTGCAGTAAAGGTGAAGTCTTTGACATCGATTTCATAGTGTACGTGACCCAAATTAAGTTTAGAGCCTCAACATAATAACTCTACAAGGAAAGTCATTGAGAGGAGAACCCTGATTAGTAATCCTACAAAAAAACAACAATCAGGGGTGGGGTTGGGGATTAATTCTCATTATTTACAGTAAGAGAAGAAGCGGCTGTGTGATGGTGCTGTTGAAGAAACTCGTGAGGTGAACTCAACTTTTCCACACCAAGGCCTATTTGGGATTATTTTGAGCAGAATGAACCGAGATCATCAAATTGAGTCTGCTGCAGTTAATTCATGCAGCGTAACAACAAGCTGAATGGATCCAACATGGTGGTGTGATAACCTGAAGTCAACAGCCAGATGTTCAGTGAGTCAAAAGAGAACTTTTGAGCTTCCTTTGTTACGTTATATTTTAGGTTGGATACTGTGATTTGATGCAATATAATCTTCAGGAAGATGCCCGGCAGCTCACTTTTATTTAATGTTTAATATGATATTTAATGTCCTGTACAGTAGTTTTTAACAGTTTAAATAAAGTGCCAGTTTTGTCTTTATTGCACCGTCCCCAAGAACTGACATCTTTCCTGTGCAGTAGGGTTAAATATTAATTTATGTGACTCAATTTTTGTCTTCCATCATTAAGGTTTTATTCTTCTCGTCTACATTATACAGTGAAGTGTCAAAAGATTTAATGAAGTACTGTACCTTTCCTTGTTCTGACTCATTTCATTAATTCATTTAAAGCAAATTGCATTTTAAGCACCAGTGGTATTTGAATGTCAGAGGGATAATAGATTTGTTGGAGCAACATTGAAGTTGTTAGAATCTCCTTCTTAAGGTCAAACCCTCATCACAGGTAAAGGTTAGAGATATTCCCACCAACCCATGCCTTGTTTCTTTCTTTCGCACCAAAATACTCAGCAGCACAACAGTCATCAACATTGCAAGGAGGCAAACTTCTCCAGCCTGCTGATGAATGTGATGAACTTGGAGAAGGCTTTTTTACTTTCGCAGGCCCGAGTGTCTATCCCCTGAAGACAGAATTGCCGAGACACCACGAAGGCAATATTTGGCCCGCTCCATCACTCTAATTCACTCCCTGCGCATCCATATTTCATTTGGCCTCGGCTTTAATGAAAGTCGTGGCAACTTCTCCACCACTGGAGTCTCTAAGCGCACACATTGTGAGGGAAAAAAATCATAAATAAGGACATTGGCCTTCATACAAAACAATATTGTAGGGAATGAGGCCCTAAAGTTGGGCAGAGAAAGGGGGGTCAGTATGATGTAGCTTGGGAGGCCATCTGCCTGACTATCTCCTATCCCAAAACCCCCCCTTCCTCCACTGCACAGACAAGTGCCTGTTTATCCCAACGCCCTTCAGAAGACATTTGCACAGGTCTCATGTGCAATCCAGTTATCTTCCACTGGCCTGAATATGCTCAGATTTTAAGTAGGGTTTGCTGTGTTGAGCTGGGCGTCCATATCCCCAGGAAGCAAACATGACATCCCCACTAAAAGGCTGCTGGGACACTGAGCTTGGCGCTGAGACTGTTACCTGCATATGCATTGGGTTAACACATCCCCCTTCCTGCCTGATACAACACCGGCTCAGCAGGGAAAGTACAGCTTCATATCCAATGCAGCTCTTTGGGATGCTGTTGATGTGATAAGAAAACCTTATTAGCTTAATATTGAGCCATCTCTCTTAAAGATTATATGAGGAATTTCACTTTTTATCATTTATTTTGGTAGATTTTGGTGGCCGCTGTAGACTCAAACTCCCACTCTGATTGTTTTGTTTTACTACTTTAAGTGTTCTCAATGGTCTTTAAATTGTGATTATGAAGTTTTAGCCAAAATCATGTTAACCTGGGTCATTTTCAAGGGCTTTTCTTCTGCAGAGCTCCAGTAACTCATTAGCAATTCACCTCTGAGTCGTGGGTGGAGACAGCGGTGCTCTGCACACTCCCCTTCACATTACCTTGCGGCCTAACATTGTCGGTGTAGTAGAAGAAGTAGGTAACATAGGAGCTATCCAGCACTTGGACGCTAATGTCTTTGGGGGTATGATGCAATCCGCTAACGTATACACTTGTTCCGAGATTGTCCTCTCTACTTCTCTGAGTCGGGCCTACATAGCGGGGCTCAGGGGGGCGGAGCTTGGATTTGTGATGTAGGAATTTCACTTTTTATCATTTATTTTGGTAGATTTTGGTGGCCGCTGTAGACTCAAACTCCCACTCTGATTGTTTTGTTTTACTACTTTAAGTGTTCTCAGTGGTCTTTACATTGTGATTATGAAGTTTTAGCCAAAATCATGTTAACCTGCAAAAGTCTTGTGCTGCGTCCGAACTGCCCGCTCGGATACTACATGCTACTGCTACGTGCTACTGCTAGATCCTACTCCTACATACTAAAAACGTTGGCCCAATTCGGACACACTAGACGAGCGGTGGGGAAAGACGACCCCCGCAGGCAGAGAGTAGGTACTGCGCCCGTGCAGACAGTGGTAACTGAAGCCCCTCATCTGCGGGCCTGGCTGTAGTACTGCAGCTGTGCAGTTTAATGATGGAATAAGTGAGCTTTACCTCCATGATGTCGCCACTTGCTCATAAAATGATTACTTGGGCAAATATGACACCATGACATGACAAAGAGATACAACCGCACATTTTTTAGGACAGTGTGTGAAGTTACATGAAACTTACATCTGTACTGCCGCGGTCCCGCCTGCTGCTGCTGCTCCGACATGGTGCGCGCTGCTGTGGCCAGCTGGCGTTCGCGACACTTTTAAATAGGCAGAGCAGCTGGTGGCGCTAGCATCACATGCGCTTCTACAATTTTTAAGAGGACGAAGAAGAAGCCCGCGGTGCATTTTGGGTCAGTAGCATGCCCGTAGGATGCACCAGAAAAATGTCATATTAACATGTAAGAAACAAGAAAATCATGATTTTCATCAGAGTGGGTATTTTAGAAATGCACTTTATCCTGCAAAAGTCTCGGTCTGAATAATATGTACACTTGTTTGCTGAGAAAATCAAAGATAAACTCATTTCAGGGTTTGGTCTGAAACTGACTCAGGATCAGTTTCAGACCAAGCTTGACTCTAACATGACTCTGCGCTCTTTTGCTGCATCGTTTAGGTCTCTTGTTCACCATTAAATGCCCGGCTCTTATCTGTGTACTGATAAGGCCCTGTCATACAGCACGGCGTTAGACTCAACTCCAACTGAATGATTGAGTTAAATATTTACATTAATAAAAGTATCTTAAAAGACTGCACTCATTACTGGTGTCCACTTTGTGCAATGTAATCTCTGCTGTTGTGCACAATACCACAGGTTGCAGCTCTCTCTCACTCACTGGTGGTGCGCTCTCTCAGCTGATTATCTCAGATATTCAACAGATTAATGAAAGCTGTAACTATGTCATCATTATTCAATTCATCATTTCTGAATTATTACACCAAACACACTTATCATAATCTCCATTGTGGTATGGATTTGGGATTGGTGGCTGAGATTAGGACACAATACAAAGAATCATTTAGTGCAATATTAAATATGATATTCTAATCTTTGGCCTGTTTGGATTATTTTGAATTTCCGATTTTCCAGATGCTTCATGATGAAAATGAAGGGCAGCAGAAAACATCATTTACCTGTATTTGCTGGAATTAATGTATCAACAAGGTTTCAAGTCGATGGTCTAAACACAAATATAACTCGGTCTATTATCCTATTACGGCCACTCAAAACCGGTATGATGCAGAGAGAGAGATAAAGAACAGGCCGGGTCCATCAGAGGACATTAAACAGGGGCCAGCGATGACTCTCTGCTTTCACACAGAGTACTGAGTACAGCAGGCTCAGATCACTCAAGGTCTGCAGAATTATACAAATAAATTGCTACCAAACTCATATGCTGCTGTGTACATAATATAACTGTGCCCGAATCAAACACAAACAAAGTTAGAGGAAAGATAAATTATTTTTTTGATAATTAAAACAAAAACAATCAAAATGTGAACCGAACTTGGCATATAATACTCCATGCACTCTTTCTCAGTGGTCTCAGCTATCAGGAATCAGTTTTATAGTTTTTTTAAATTAAGAGAATCTCTTTTTTTAATGTGGAATTTGTGACACATTTACAAAAGGACCTTACTGTAAAAAGAAATCTGTTTCAAAGTGTTTCCTGCAGGTGAAGACTGACATGTAACGAGCAAGTGTTTTCATTTAAGCTGCGGCTGTAAAGAGGATAGTCACAGATGGAAATGAGGGGGAAAAATGCACATTACAAATATCGCCTCAAGCTGCCACTTTAAAGACGCACGCTCAGCATAAGGTATTCACTTTGCAGATAAAGGCGGTCTTTCCACTCATAATCAACGTATACAGTAATGCATCATTTTCTTCCAGATAGCCAGAGAAGAATTAGCTCAAATTATTTAAAGTTTTTGTTAATTACTTTTGGGGCCTGAAGCTGTTCGTGCCTCAGAACTGCTGCAAAGTTTACAGCCACTCGGTCACATTAGCTGACTTATAATTCAAGCACTTATCACCCAACTCTAAAGCAGTGCTTTATGAGGCATCCAGCTCTTTATCTGTATGTACACCTCCAATGTGATCACATGGTTAAATGATATTTCTGCTAACACTCATCCCTTAAATTAAAAAAAGCAGTGGGCGTGCATTTCTGTGGGCACAATCTTACACTCCTGATCTCAATGGGGCATTTATGGAGGCTTTTATAACTCTAATTATCTCAAGCCATTACAGTATATCAACTTTTAGTGGTCCATTGTATACCCAATATGCATCAACTGGACAGATGCCTCAGTGGCACAGAATATTTATCTCAAATTATAAGGCACAGAGGTTCAACTTCAGTTGAACGCAGTGCTTAAGGCTGACACAGTAATGAACAGAGTGTACTATTTTGTTTAAGTGTAACATTGTTGCTGTGGAGCTGTGTTGCTTATTAATCAGTCACAGTGAGCCAGAGCAGCATGAGGGTAGCCTTAGTGTCAAAAAGTGACACCAAGGTTTTATCCTCCATCTGTTACTCAGGGGTTACATTTGCATACAGAGTACACAAAGTACAGCAGATTAATGACACTAATAATACGAGCATGGTGATATAAACTCAAAAACAAACAGGTATATAAGGACAGGGTTTTAGTTGGGATAAAAATGACAATTCTGGATATTGGTAGTATTTTATCTTATTTACCCCCTAATAAGCATTCATCTGCAATATGTTTAGCACTTTTTAACTGGTTTTATTTTCTCTTGAATTTACAAAATGCCACAAACAGGGCTTGACACTAACTTTTTTAAAGTAAAGAGCACACAAAGAACTTTAGGGGCACAATGAAAATTGATCAAATAATGTGTGTCTTATTGGTCAACATTAGTATTTGAAATCAATTGTGGGTCTTTTGGTCACGTGACATGGAAGCTATTGGAGAAAATGTTCAAAATTTGACTTTAAATTTAACAAAAAAAAATTTAGAGAACAAATTAGAGAAACAAAGAGGTGTGTCTTATTGTCCGACCTTAGTAGTATTATTTGAAATTATTTGAAATTTAGGTCAATTAGTCACATGACATGGAAGCTATTGAAGGAAAACAGGCTTTTTTAAAAAAAAAACAACAACCGGTAATTTATTGATGGTCCCTTATTCAACACCTGACGTTGACAACAAGGGTGCTGAGTAGATTTAATCACGCTGCTGTTGCTATTCCCGATTATGGAGAGTGAGAAGACACCGGTAGATCTGCAGTGAATGTCCGTCAAATATCCAACCTAAAACTAACTTCACCACAGTAATTACATGAAAAAACATTTGTTGCCTTGGCTGATTGATTTTTTTTTATGCACACATGTGCCCCGAAATAAATTTTACAATTCGCACACATGTATGTTTAGTTGGAAATGTCTGAGAAATGGTTGCACAAATGCATTTTTTACTACTGCTAACAGGATGAAACACACGTTAAATCAAATAAAATAACATCTCTTAATCACTCCTACACATTTATACAGTTAAATCCTGGTTATGAATAAATTGCATAACTACAGAAACAGTTGAAATGTTCAATATTACATTTTATGTATGTATATGAATTATAGTTATCAACCCTAAATTAGTTTGTATCAAATCCTATCAAATCCCTTTTGACATAGCTGTTTTTTTAATCGTTCACATGCTAAATGGAAGTGGTTAGAATAACACATTGCTCTGTGTCTTAAGGTAAAAACAGGGTAAGAACAAGCATGTTGACAAATTTTACTGTTGTTTTTTGGTTTTCCCCTCTGTGACAAGGGCCCCCAGTTCTCTATCGCTGGCTCCGGCCCTGACAAAGCTGTTAATGTTCTGAAAAGAATGTGCAAATTGCAGAAACGAGTCCAAGTGTGGGCAGAAAACACTTCTGGTACTTAGAACCAGTGATGGAACAAATTTGGTCAAATTGGTAAAGTGCCCAAAGGGAGGAGGGAGATGTTCCACGGAAAACCAATTCCAAGCTTGGGTGAGCTCAGGATTGTTTGGAAACTCTCCAATCTGGGGGCCTGCATTGAATTGCGTGTCAGGCAGAGACTGTTAAATAAGATTAGAATAAGGACCAAGAGAGCAGCACAGGTACCTCACAGGATGGCTGTGTAATGTCAAACCACAGTCACTCTTTAACCACCATATATCAGCTGTGGTTGTATCTCAGAAATGTTACACGAGGTGACATGTAAACTCACTGGACAGTCACAGGAAACATTAGAGGTTTTCAGCGCATTCTGAGCTGTGTTTGGAACAAGTCCTGCTTTCCTGCTTTGATTTATTCCTCGTAGCACCAATTAGGCTTGGCCCGCTCCTGGAGGAGTTGAAAAGCTGACGATGGATATGTCATGGGATGCTATGATCAAAGCAGGAAGCAAAAAAGACACAGTGAGAGAAAGGAATCTCATTCACGTTCAGTTTTATGATGCCTCCAACAGAGTTGTATTACAGCTTGTACACGCAGCCACTTCCTAAAAAAATGACCTTAGAGATATTCATGTGTCTCTTTCTTTTACTCTGATGAGCATAAATGGGCGGATATGACGATGTTAATGTGATGATAATAATAATGATAATAATAATAATAGCAGTAAGGGCAGGATTTATTCATCTGACACCAAGGGAGTAACACTGAGTACGACAAAAATGAATATGAGCTGGCTGATGGGTCTGGCAATCCAAGGCTACTGTGTCCTCACATTCAGGTTAAGTAATGCCAAAATGCTAATGTTAAATATGACTAAATTTCACAGAAGTTAAAGGTTTTAATAATACATTTTCAAATTAATGTCCACATTAAAAACTAATGAAAATATGGTAATGCTAATTAGCAGATTAGAATACAAATGCCCAGTTTAGCGGCATCAAAATATATCTGCATTGCTTCATCCCGATGGTGAAGAGTAAATGCTAGCCATTGTAGAATATTGCACAAGGTTCATTACACGAACATAACATCAGGAGTTTGTAGACTCCTGCACCACGGTGTACTATGGGATCGAATGAACTGCAAAAGGGTTAAAAAACACAATCATACCATCAACATATCTAATCCCTGCGTCTTTACTCTCTTTTGGGGTTCTCAAACTTAGATGAAACTCCAAAACCAAACAATATCCCCAATAGTTTTTCAATAACGTTCTTCTAGAGCTGGGAAAGTACTGTAAAGTGGGTTTTCAATCGTATTTTCTGAAAACAGCTGCCAACAGAGCCATGAACCGCGGAGGTAAATGGTAATTCAGCGTAATCACAGATTTCAAGGTCTCCAACATTTTTGAATTCTAAGTGTTTGGTAGGCAATGTGAGTAATTCGTCATAGAGTTGAAAGAGGATAACAGTTTTGGCTGATGTGAATTCACAGTTTGATACAAGAAGGTGGAATTAAAAGGGCGCCTTTCTTCCTTTTATCCTCAACTTAGTGCTGTTTGACGGAGACAGATGGGGAAGGTAAATCAAGGCAGCTGAGTGGAGAGCACTGCTGACAGCACATTAGAGCCTCTCTCAATGAACTGTCACAAGTGCACATTGAAAGTAAAGTTTGATCATACGTGGCTGCTGTCCTGTCAGACATCCTTAAAAGCAAATGGGGCCTAAGTGCTGCGGAGCTCTGAATGAGTCTGAGATGACAGTTGTAGTCGGTGCAAAGAGAGGGCACAGGCACTCCATCCTCCCCGCTGCAAAAGGACAATGAGGTGAGGAGGACTCCGGCAGCATTTCTCGCCCTGCACCCTCACCCTTGCAGTAAAAGCATCTGACAAAGTGTCAGTCTTCCACATCATCATTCACATCATTAAATGCTGGAGCTAAACTTTTGTGCTGCTTCTGCAAAAAGGTTGTGAATCTGTGAAAATCTCAACATCCCTACTCAGCATGCACATTTTCTCACCAAATGAACAGTTTTATTAGGAGCTTTTTAAGCATCTTTATGGATGAAACATTTCAATTTCTTCCACAGTATTGGTCAAGAGATTTTATGCACTGTTAGTTGGGCTGATATATTCATAAATTGGTATCATTGTGCTCACATCAGGATCATTTGGATGATGTCAGTGGATGCAAAAGTCTTTAATGGTACCACAACATCTGTAGCAACACCCCAAACTTCTGGTCAACTTTAGCCAACCTTCACTGTAATTTAAAAGTAATTAACAGAACATTGATGTTGGGGAACAATGTTCATTTGTTTGCAGTTAGGCATCAAAAATAAATACCGTATTGTCCGGACTATAGGTCGCTCTGGAGTATAAGTCGCACCAGCCAAAAAATGCATAATGAAGAAGAAAAAATATACCGGTATAAGTCGCATTTTTTAGGGGAAATTTATTTTACAAAATCCAAGACCAAATTCTATATTTTAACATATATAAGTTGCATCTGAGTATAAGTCGCAAATTCAGCCAAACTATGAAAAAAAATGTGACTTGCAGTCCAGAAAATATGGTAGTTAGGCCCAAGAATAAAAATTTTGTTTCAGTAAAGTGCTTTGAGAAGGTTATGCTTCATACGTACTTAAATGTGAGTTTGAATTCAAACCATCCAAACAGTCTAAAAATAGGAACCTACTTAAAAAAGCAGTTAAGATCGAGTCCTTTCGTATAACAAGACCAGCATCTGTGAGTACACAATGCTGGTTTGCAAAGTGTGGCAAAAACTAACAGAGCTAGCACCACTGGCCACATGCCTGTGCTGGTTATGTTCTGCTTTTATTGAGCTGTTACGTGCCTGTTTAACCAATCACAGCTTACATACACACTGTCTCCACTTTCTACATTAATACAGCCAAACCACACCTTACTAAAAGATGGCATTTACTGTCTGTGCTTATGGCAGTCGCTATTAAACTGAGCTTTAGTTTCAGCTAGTGATGGGTAGCTGCACAACAGCTTAGACAAAATATATGACTACTGGCATTTCAGCCAACATGAAACATTATGAATAATTATTTTAACCGGTGTGGACCTGCGAGGTTGACGTTTAATTGTTTGGTCAACTGAATGTAAACATCTCAAACACAGACTGTATATAGAATGGACTTTGTCTGCCTCCCCACTGTGTGAAGCCTCCGCCAGAACAACACCCCCTGGTGACTGGTTGCAGTATAGGTCTTTAACCCCTTCTCTTCCAGGAAACTGAATGGTGCTGTAGACAAACTTTGAAAATTAAATACAAGTCATATGATTTTTTTTACCCCCGTTTGCAATTTTGACATGTAGATTTTGCTAGACCGGTTTGTGCTCAAGTCCTCTTTTTTCTGTTCAGTTCCATTTCTTAAAGTAAATCAGGAAATTACATATTTTCTATGATTGACACTTGGATACAGTCAATGGGCGTTTGAGCAGAGCTTCATCACAACGTTCTCCTACAGCGCAAATACCAGTTTTCAGGAAATGGTAAAATTTCCTGGAAATACCAGATGCTGCAAATTGTATCGATAACCTTTTTGTTTTGTTTCTCAAGCCATTAACAGACAATTAAATAACTCTTAATTAAACAAACAAGACTCACTTACGTCAATTTGATTGTTTTACTTCCAATGCAAAACCACAGAGACAGTCCTGCTTTATCTAAAATATGCTGTTCTACTTTGGCTGAGCCTCAACGAGAAAGGCGAACAAAGATAGACCTTCAAATCAGGTTGATAAGATGTTTGGTATTGCACATTACTAAGTGTTTAAGTAAAGTTTTAAAATCAAGTTTCTGTGTACATAATTACAAACATGTGGGCTAAATGGAGGTAGCATGTCCTGTTTGACTGCCTGCTGTTCACCAATATAAAGTTGAGTTTTATAGTCAAACAGGAAGTATGCTCCTTAAATAAACTGCATT